ATCTAAGAGCTGACAAAACCCCAAAATTTAATTTCTGCACAGAGCTATGGGCTAATCTTATGTATAGAATACCATTATTGTATAAAATGCACTTAAAGCAGTGAAAGCTTTGTGAAAAGATCTAAAAATAGGCACATATTTATCATCCCCTTATGTTGTAAATTTCTTCAGAAGAAGGAAAAATAACCTCATGGCTTAATATTTCCCTGCCACCATATTTAAAAGTTAAATTATGCACGTCACTGTCAAGTATGTTCTGCAAAGCAGTGTGCCGCTGAGGATGTATGAATATAATAAACCAGAGGGTAGTGATATTAAATTTTAGATTATTACTACATATAGAAAGTCTTATGTTGGCAACAGAAGGCCAAAGTTGAGTAACAATTCCTTATTCTAAAAAATTCGATATTGAGAACTGTTCTTAACAGCTTGCCTGATTTTGTTACATTTTGCAAATCATTACATGAGTCTAACCAGGACTTTTTTTTATTCAGAAATCAAAAATGTCTTCAATGAATAATCTCACACTAGTCATAGAATCCTAGAATACTAGAACTGGAAGGGATCTCAAGAGGACCTCAAGTACAATCCCTGGCCACTCATGTCAGGACCAAACACCATCTTGATCAGGGGTAGGGAACGTAAGGCTTGGGGGCTGGATGCAACAGATTTTTCTGTGGGTCAGCGGCCCCTGACCAAAAAAGTTTCCCTGCCCCTAATCTGTCATCCCTTACAGATGTCTGTCTAACCTGCTCTTAAATAACTCCAGTGATGGAAACTCCACAACTACCTGGGCGATTTATTCCAGTGTTTAACCCCCCTGACCATTAGGAAGATTTTCCTAATGTCCAGCCTAAACCTCCCTTGCTGCAATTTAAACACATTGCTTCTTGACCTACCATTAGAGACCAAGGAGAACAATTGTTCTCTCTCCTACTTGTAACACCCTTTTAGATACTGGAAAACTGTTATCATGTCCCCTCTCAGTCTTCTCTTTTCTAAACTAAACAAGCCCAATTCTTTCAGTCTTCCCTCATAGCTCATGTTTTCTAGACCTTCCATCATTTTTGTTGCTCTTCTCTGGACCTTCTCCAATTTCTCTACATATTTCTTGAAATGTGGTGCCCAGAAGTGGATACAATACTCTAGTTGAGGACTAATCAGCACAGAGTAGAGTAGAAGAATTCCTTCTTTTGTCTTGTTCACAACATTCCTGTTAATGCATCGCAGAATTAAATTTGCTTTTTTTGCAGCAGTTGACTCATATTTAGCTTGTGGTCCACTATGACCCCTAGATTCCTTTCTGCAGTACTCCTTCCTACACAGTCACTTCCTATTCTGTGTGTGTGAAACTGATTGTTCTTCTTATTTGTCCTTATTGAACTTCATCCTGCTTACTTCAGACTATTTCTCCAGTTTGTGGAGATCATTTTGACTTATGACCCTACTCTCCGAAGCACTTGCAACCCCTCCCAGCTTGGTATCATCTGCAAACTTTATAAATGCACTCTCTATGCCATAAACTAAATTATTCATGTCTCCCGTGGAAAGTGAGGGTTTTGTTTACCTTCTATCACAAACCCAATTTTGCATTCTGTAAAAAATTTAAATTAGCTTTATTACCTAATACTGTGTCACACCTATAGCATTAATGCAAGAAAACAGGAAATTGAGAACTGAGAAAATGCATAGATTCCTACATTATTCATAGGTTTGCTGCCCCTGAAACCTTGCATGGTTCTGACTCTAGGGGCTAATTTTAAAAATTATGGAAATGGGAATACTTAATCAGTAACGTTTTCTAGGTCTGTCTATGTGATACAGAGGCCCTTCCACAAAGAGACAGGAATGGGAAGCCCATCACATAATGAGTAGAGATGATGGAACATTTCATAGCACCTTATATCCCTTTTGGTCTATGGCTATCTAATAATCTCAGGTGTTTACATAGTATCTTATTTCCTCTTTGTTGTTAACTTTGTGAGGATTCCTTCATGTACTAAACTTTGTCTAGAGCAAGAATGAGGGATGGCATCTTCCTAAACAGGACTGTGGGTTCTGGAAAATATATATTTACAGTTAGCATGGAGAGATTTATCAGAGCTGACAGCCATGTAATGCTGAACGCTTTTGATCCTCCTTAAAATGAAATGACATGCCATTTCCTACTGGATGGAAGGGGGAACACTGAGGAGATACTAATACTGCAAACTATGAGTCTGATCCTGCAATTGTTCCTCATGAAGGCAGTCTCATTGAAATTAATGGAACAGCTTGGCTACGTCTAGACTACATCCCTTTTTCCCTCTATTTCATAGAGGGATAAGGGATCTTTCGGAAAAGGTTTTATTTTCAGCAAGATCAGCGTCTAGACTGGTGCTTTTTTCCGGCAAACCTCAGTGCCAAAAAAAAGCCCCAGCCATTTTTATGCTAATGAAGTAAGGGAGATTTAAATCCCCGCTTCATTAGCAATTGCGATAAGTCTAATTTACATCCCTTTTACGAAAAAGGGATGTAGTCTAGATGTAGCCCTTATGTATGGACTGCTTCCCTAAGTAAGTGTTGCAAGATTTGACCTCACACATATAAATCTTCCTTTTTACATTTTAACAACGTTGTGTTGGAATCAGATGCTGCAATTTCTTAGTTGCGTGGGTAAAAGATTGCAGGATCTGGCTCTTAATTTTATTTCCATGGGGGATCAATCATATTGCCATTATAAGAATGTTTCTAGTTAATTTAGAAGGCAACTCTTGAGAAGATATATAACTCTTGTCACTTCTAATTCAGAGAATGTCTGGTGAGGAATTCTGAAAGTGATACTTGAACACTTGAATGGTTTTTCAAATTAAAAAAAATAATGGATTCCTAGGAGGCATCCTACCCCAATGTACTGAAAACTTAAGACTTTTATTGCATTTATGTTACTGTCCACAGTTGTAGCTGCATATTAGCCGTAAGTCAGAAAACTTCCATAAACTGGTGACTGGGCCATAGAAATTGAGTTTTTATGGCTAATTTATTTTAGCCTGGAAGATTGCAAATTCTTGGACCATGCTACTGATTTAGCAAAATGTTGCAAATGTCATAGGACATTTACAATCTCATCTTCATAATGGTGATGTTGAGTAATTTGCAGAGATAATTAAGAAGATTCCAATGCAGAAAAATGCAAGAGACTTAGAGGCACTTTTCAGAATTACCTCCCACTCCTCATATAGAGAAGCAGGTCTCATGATTTAAAATGAAGAGTACAATATGTGAAGGACAAAAACTTCTTGATGGACCATCTTTGTAATTTGAAATCAGAGTAGGTATGGTGGATTCTTAATCTGATAAACCAACCTGTATATGTGTCTAAAATACTTATCTGGCCCCCATCACTGTAATTATCTGAGTATCTCATTTTTAGTATATTTATCCTCAAAACAACCAGCAAGGTGGGGAAGCTCTTCCCATTTTACAGAGGGGAACTGAGGCATAAGAGAGACTAAGTGGCTTGCCTAAAGTTACACAGGAAGTCTGCTGAGCAGGCAACTGAAGCTGAGTCTCCCAAGTCCTGAAGTGACACTCTAAGCACTGGGCCATCCACTTCTGTTTGGGAATTATGTATCTAGATTGCTCATGACCAATTAAATTGTCTTCAGCATAAGAGATTTGCTTTTGATGCTAGAAAATCCACTTTTCATCCTTTTCTTCACCCATGAAGTTCTGAGTGGCAATGGTGTGCAATGTACAAGTTCTGGGTAGCTGATGGTTTTCTTACAATATTTTAAGGGGTGTAAATGACCTCAGCTTAGCTTTCAGAACAAGATTGTTATGAGTTTCAGAAGTAGAATGTTACCAATCATGTGTAGTTAACACATTTTAAATACTCTCGATAATACTTTTGTCATACCAATATTCAGAACTGCTGTGTCCTTTCATGTATATATCAATGCCCATGCAAGATAAAACAGTTGCAAAGTAGGAGGTAAAGAGTTGGAATTGGAAATGGAGAAGAATACAAGGCATGAAGTCTTGACATCTCTCTCTCTCTCTCATCAAAATTAGAGATGAATTAATAATTCAGTTATTCAGTTCATTAAATGAACTGAAAAACCCGGGGAAAAATTGATTTGTTTTGACCCCAGACTGGGTTTTCTCTCCCAAATGAATAACCAATAATGTTTTGTTTGAACTGAACAAAATGTTTCAAACTTTGTTCCAAACTGCCATTTCCTAAATGAAATATCAATTCCAATTGACATTGCATTCCTAAAATTTCATTTCAAAGCAAAAACGTTTAAATGGTTCATGCTGAAAATGTCAAAATGAAGCTTTTCAATATTTCTGATTTTTTTCTATCAAAAATGTTTGGCTGATTTTGACTGAAATTCACAAATAGTTTTGGTTCCCCAAACCTTACTAATCATTACACCACATTTATTATTTATTGAAAAAAGTTTTGCCCCGCTGTATTCAAATATGTAGGAATTTAGGAGATAATGACATTGCTGTAAGGACTTAAAATGGATGCTTTGCCTTCACTTTTTTTTAACATACAACATTGTGTTAGTGAAGAGTGGGGGATGAATCATTTTTTCCATTTGTCCTCTTTAACACAGTAAATCATCTAATATGTAAATACTTGAACTTTGCTGCCTGGCTTTCAGAGAAAAACAGCGCTAATTAGATTCTAGAGGATTGCCACTTACAGAAATGGGGAAAAAAATCTCAATTTGAATTTTTTTCTCATAATGGTAGGAGGACTGAAAGCATTTTTTTCCTCTTAAAAGGCACACTGTATATTCCATATTGCTGATTGAAGCTCTAATTGGATCTAAAGGCTGACCAAGATTTCCTTTAATCTGAGGCTGACCTAGAATTTGATTCCCTGCTTTGAAATTTCAGGATGTTCTTTCTGAACCCTGATTTTTCTGACCAACACTCTGTCATATGTAAAATACATGCCACTCTTAATACGTTGATGTGAAGGAAAACCTTTTAGGTTGAATTACCTTAAATTCAGTTTCAATGTTGGCTAGTCTTGCCAATTCATTACTTAGTTCTAAAGCAGTAAGAACAGGGTCTTCACTGGAAAGAGACAAATAAGCGGCACTTGCTAATCCTTTGTAGGCATTCATTCTCGATCGAGAGTGACTAAAGGAGTCTTTTCTCTGTTTCTCGGCACATTCGTTGCACTTGCAGAAGTAGTCATGGGGCCTTTCTATCCGTGCCCCTTTCAGAAGCAAGATATGAACAATTTCATACTCTTGGCAATGAGCAGCGAGTATTATGGGGGTGATGTCATGAGAAAACCGAGTTCCATCCTCATCATAAGCGTAAAAATCATCATCGCGTAGTTCCTGCTCAAGGGGGCTTAGTGTGAGACGCTGCCCTTGGGCAAAGGCTGGATGGTTCAATATTGCTTCCACAATGCGCACATATCCCTTACTGATGGCCAACAGCAGCGCATCCCCAACTCGAGCCAGGTTCTCCTTTTTCAGAAGGAGCTCAGTCACTTCCAAATGCTCATTCCCCACCGCTAACTGCAAGGCATTTTGTCCCATATAATCAACACAATTAAAGTTCAAGGTTTTGGACTCCTCCAGCATTTTCCGCACCACTGGGATGTTGCCATATTCCGCAGAATCCAGGAAGCGTTCTTCCTCCACGGTCAGGCTGGTGCCCTTCTCGTTAAACATGTAGGCGGGGCCTCGGATAGCCTGCCTCCGGCCTTTCTCCCGCAGGGTTGTGTGCCTTCGATGCATGTTTTTAGAGCTGCTGTTTCCCAACCTGCACAAAGACAGGAAGGAAGCTTGATTATCCTCTCAGCCATTTTTAATCTGAGGTAACCTGAAAATAATGTTGGAAATGTTCCATTGTTATAAGACCTTGTATTGAACATAGTTTAAAATGCATTCAGCATGGTTTAGGATATATGATGAATAATGCAAATTACTTTACTGAAAAGTGTCAAGAACTTAGGCTCCTAAATCACCTCGGCTCTTTTAGAACATTTATCCAAAATGTAACAAGCAAATGAAACAAAAAAGCAAGTGGTGATGCTTTGTTGGCAACACACAATTCATTTTTCATGCCAGTCAGGGTACATCTACACTGCACACTTATTTTGAAATAAGTTATTCTGGAAGAAATACTCTGAAATAGCTTATTTCAAAATAGCACGTCTGCACTACAGAGAAGCCTCAAAATGAGTCTGAGGCAGGCTTTCCTAATGCAGATGTGCTACCTTGATTTAGAGCCCCAGGAGGCACTGGGAAGTAATTCTTTTGAATAGGCCTGGGGAGGAGCTATTTCAAAAGACTAATTTGAATAGGCCTGGGGAGGAGCTATTTCAAAAGAGTAACAGTGGAGCATTCACACTACTGTTATTCCAAAGTAGCTATTTCAGAAAAGGCATTATTCCTCATGGAATGAGGTTTACAGAAGTCAGAATAAGCCATCTGTTATTTCAAATTTATTTCGAAATAACGGAATTGCTGTGTAGATGCTTGGATTTTTATTTCAGAATAACGGCCATTATTCTGAAACAACGCTGCTGTGTAGACGTGCCCTCAGTGATCTAGGGCAGAATATTGCCCACCCAGCATGTGGATACACCACAATTGTTTTTTTGGTGAGAAGTTAGGGGATGGGGGTGGGAGACAATACATTTTCATGGCAGCAAATTTGCTGGGTTGATTTAGTTGTCATTTTTACAGAGCTGACAGCTGTTGGAAGCAGGACAGAGGTTTGGAATGCTAGATGCAGTATTAGCAGGAGCTAGTCCATTATCCAGTCTCCTAATTTTTTAACAATGACCTATTTATTCTTTTAGTTATTATTACTTTGGGGGATTTTTTGTGTCTTAATTTTTTCTAAAAAACAAAACAAAGAATCAATCTTAATGTCATTTCCGAGTCCACAAATGGAAACAAATAGTTATTCTGTTGGTAGAAAGAAAGCAAAAGCATAAGAATGGCCATAGGGTCGAGAGCGGTGGCCCACCTACCACATTGTCCTGTCTTCCAACAGTGTCCAGTGCCATTTGCTTCAGAGGGAGTGAACAAAGCAGGGTACTTTAATAAGTGACCCAATCCCTGTTATCCCAGCTCTGCTCCTAGAAGCCAGAAATGTACGGACACCTAGGGTACGTCTAGACTACAGGCAGTTCTGTCGACAAAGCAAGCCACTTTATCGACATGACAGTGTAGACGCAAAGGACAGTGTAGAAGCAATAATGCCTTGTGTCGACAGAACTCTGTCGACAAAAGGCGTTATTCCTCATATGATGAGGCTTACAGATGTTGACAAAACTGCTGAGTTCTGTCGACATTATGTCGACAGAACTCAGCGGCAGTGTAGATGCAGGTATAGTTTTGTCGACAAAAGTCCACTTTTGTTGACAAAACCCTGTAGTCTAGACACACCCCTAGAGTATAGGGCTGTGTCCCTGAATATCTTGACTAACAGCCATTGATGGACGTATCTGTCAGGAACTTATCTTACTGCTGACCCATAGTTCTTCTTGTCCTCTTATTTTTACCTCAGAGACTGGCAGAGTAAATCTAAGGTAAGACACAAAAGGCATATGTATATTAGAGTGTGTCTGTCTGTCTAGGAGTCCATCTGTGTCTGTCTGCAATCTGTTTGTTCAGGAATTCCTCCTAAACACTAAGAGTTTGGGCCACCAAATTTGATATGCAGCTTTCTCGTCTCCTAATTTAAAGCAAGGTCAGTGTTTGGTTGTGCCAGGAAAATGGGAAAAGCTGGGAATGGGGCTGCTTGCCATAACATGGAAAGAGAGGGGGCAAAGAGGAGGGATGCGATACTCACAGTGGCCACTGGGAGCAGTGAGCATGGGGAGTGCTATACTGCAGATTGACAATTGGAGGGCAGCTGTACCACCCCTGCCTTTTTGGGGGTGGGGGCAAAGAGGAGGGATGCGATACTCACAGTGGCCACTGGGAGCAGTGAGCATGGGGAGTGCTATACTGCAGATTGACCATTGGAGGTCAGATGTACCACCAAGAAAGTGGCCAGCTGGACTGATCAAGATGGAACTCACCATCTTGCCTGCCACCAGGCCAGGTAAGTAGTACCTCCTGCCCCTAACGTCCCTCCACCCCACCGGTCCTTGGCCTCAGCACTGGAGGGGGGAGGGAGAAAGCCACTGCTAGGCTGGGAGGAAAAAAACAGTCCTGCCAGGGGTGGAGGGAGAGGAAAGGCCCCTGACAGCCAGGGGGGCTGCAGGGGAGAAAAGGCCCCTGATGGCTGGAGGGACTGGGGGAGAGAAATGGCCCCTGCCTTTTTGGGGGAGGGGGGCTGGGAGTAGAAGAAAAAGCCACACTGGCTAAGAGGTGAGAGAAAGCCCCACCAGACCAGAACCCCTACCCTTAGCCTCTCCTCACACCACAACCATCACTCTCGCACCCCTCACGGCCCTGGCCCTCTGCCCTGAGTCCCTCCCCAACCCACGTGCGACTCCTACACCTCCCATGCCCACCGACTCTTGCCCTGCCCCCCACCACATCCCCAAGGCCCTGCCCTGACTCCTATACCCCCACCACCACTAGTCCCTGACCCTGAAGGACCCAGGCAATACCAGGTAAGTCTTCTACTCTAATGCATAATGTTAATAGTTCACCAAAATTATGAAAAATGTTGCTTTTTCTCACTGTCTCTGATAGAATGTAGATGCTGTTTTTTCACTCCATTCTAACAGCAACAGTAAGAGTAATCTATGCAGAAGCAGAATAGTATTAAAATAAACCTTCCCACTGACTCCTATACCCCCACCACCACTAGCCCCCGACCCTGAAGGACCCAGGCAATACCAGGTAAGTCTTCTACTCTAATGCATAATGTTAATAGTTCACCAAAATTATGAAAAATGTTGCTTTTTCTCACTGTCTCTGATAGAATGTAGATGCTGTTTTTTCACTCCATTCTAACAGCAACAGTAAGAGTAATCTATGCAGAAGCAGAATAGTATTAAAATAAACCTTCCCACCAAAACATAACTGCTATAGAAAATAAGCATGTTAAAATACTCTACAGAAGGACAGGCAGAACAAATGAAAGTTACGGTGAAGGCATTATCACTCATGAAAGCCTTCACTTCTGATGAGTTATGACCCCAATCTTGATCATGAAACCTGAAGATCAATACTTCACTACATCATCTTTTACATATGAAGATACAAATTGAAAATTAGTCCCTGAACTTGGAATATTTCCATAAGGAAAACTCAGCTGCCACTTCAGATTTTAAAAACTAATTACAAAGATGTTTGACCTGAACTCTGAATTATGATGATGAATAGTGACAATGCAAAGAGATATATATTTAGGAACAGAAGATCTTGGAAACTCAGCCATATCCATGTCACTGGCTTCTGCGTCGCATCTTCCTCAGCACTAGTTGTACAGCCTGTTTTCAAATTAATCATATGTACTGAGAATCTGTAATGGGTTCTCTTTAAAAAGTGTAATTGTAACTTGATTGCAGGTATCTTAACATTTTTCGTTGAAGATGCTCTGCATTTAAATGACTCTGCATTTGCATATTTTATTGAGACAGCTAGTGATCAAATGCTGATATTGCAATTAAAATACCGTGTTTTTCTAGGAATGCCTGTTTTGACATTCTATGTCATTGGAAAGAAATGTACCATAGAAAGGCAAAACCTTGGGCCAGATCCTGACTCCAAGGGGACATCTGTTGCAAGCTCTTGGACATTCACAACTTCTGTTGAAGTCCTTAGGACTTGACAGTCCTAGGCACGTTGGAGGCGGTACACAGCAATTTGTAGGATTTGTCCCCACATCGTATTGGTTTCACACTATTGACTGACCTATGGGTGCTTGCTTTGTCTAAAGTCTTCTATCAAGCAGTTGGACTGGGTTAGCTGGGCTACGTGCTGAGAGTAAGAGGCTCAGAAGGATTCTCTCTCACAGAAGAGAGAATTCTGTGGTTCATAACACTGTAGTCAACTCCAGCCACTGACCTGTCTGTCACTCACTTCCTTTATCCCACTACATATTGGGCCTGTACAGATTTCATGCCCATGCCATTCTGTACCCTTGGTATGGACACCCACACTGAGCTCCTCCATTGCTGCACAGTAGAAATACATCTGCAAAGATAGGAATGGCATCTGGAATTAAGATTTGGAGCAAAAAGTACCTAAAGGACCCTAAATCCCAGTTTTAGAAATGACATGGGGCCGATTCAGAGTTACTAAGTTGTGTTAAGGTGCCAAAGACACTAATAGGATTTTCTATAGATCCTTGGCACCTAATTCCTATTCATTATCAATTAGACAAAAACTTACAACCCAGATCCCTCAAAGATATTCCTGCTCCTAATTCCAAATATCAGTGGGAATTAGGCCCCCAAATGCCTCCAAAGATCTGAAACTAAGTGCTCAAATAATTTTTGAGAATGGGATTTAGTTTCTTGGGTGACATTTTGAAAAACACCTTTTATGCTTTAGGATCTCATCCTGTAATCCTTGTTTAGGCCAAACTGAAATTCAAAATGGGGATGAAATGGGAGTTAAGAACTAAAGGATCAGCCCCTTGCTTGCTATTTCTCCTCTCCTGAAATGATTTAGGCCATTTTCAGAGATTCAGGAATGCTAGGCACTAACTTCCCACTCAAATTATCTTAGGTCTGTTTAAAATGCTCATCCTCTAATACTATACATTAGATAGTGGTCTTTTAAAATACAGTCAAAATGCAGTTACTTAAAATATTGTCATTATGAACAAAAATTA